CTCTCTTCATCTCCAAGCAGCCCACATAGTAGTGACACCTTACCCTCTAGCCTTCTCTCTATCTCCGTCAACATGGTGCGGCTCCCTCCATCATTATATCATAATGGCACCACTATCAGGCCTTTCTTTCCCAGTTCAATAAAGGCAACGCCACGAGTGGTGAAGCATTTGCCTAACATCGACATCGTGCTTGGTGAAGTAATAGCTTTAGATTGAAATGATGATGCTTGACTTTGGGTCCTGTTCTCCCCTATTTTTTATGTTAGAAACAGAGATGGTGCTTCCCACCGTCATGAAATCTAGCGACTGCTCCAACGTCCTCTTGTGTATACTCTTGAGAACTCACCTGCATGCATATCAAGAACCCACTTGCATGCATGCATGCTCTGGATTCTGTTAAAGTAAGAGAACAAGTGTGTATGAATGGAATCGCATCTTTGCGTCACATGGGGAGAAGCAGAGGTTGTTACCATGAGGTTGAGGATGGAGGCGCATGAGGAAGGGGGAGGAGATCCAAGTTCAACAATGGTGAGAGATGATGATGAATCATAAATATTGGTAGAAGAGAGAGAACGTGTTGCCTCGCAATGGTGGGAGTATGCGGAGGAGAGAGAAAACATTGTTAAATTATTTAAAAAATATAAAAACTATCAGTGGGACCCAAACTATAATATTTTGTAATAAATAAATATTAAAAAATTCATATGTGGCTCAATTAATAAAAAAATAGCCAAGAGATAGGGTGATAGATTTAAAAATTTTAGTGTTCAAGGGATATAAATAAATTATAATTGAGTTTAGAATCATTTATATATTTTCATGATTAGTTTGAAAGTAAAATTGACCTTTAATCCTAAAAAATAATATTTCCTTCAAGTTCATACAACATCTTCAAATAAAATTATGTATATCAATAAAATTCACTAAATACATTTTATAACTTTATTTTTTAAAAATAAAAATATTTTTTAAGACCACAATATAAAAGTCATTGTTAATTAATTTATATTTCTTAAAAATTTTGGTTAAAATCTTGATTTTTTAAAAAAATTTACATCTTTCTAATTGTATCCTTAAGTACAATAAATATAACATTTGATTTATTTAAAATATCCATGTTAATTACTTAAGTGGAGTATAATAAAATAAGCATATGATTAGAATATATATTTTCTAATTATATATATATATATAACCGACCAAATGTTCTATATTATATTCCATATTTTAAATCAAGCAAAACTCATAAAAATATCTTATATTATAGTTTGGAGTGAGTGTAAATTTTTAAAAATACATTTAATTTAATATAGAACCTTATTGGTGAAACATTAAATAAAGAGAAAATATAATAAAAATGGAAGTATGAGAACAAGTATAATCAATAAAACTTTATTTTTTAAAAAATATTTTATATTTTGAGACACCAAATCACTCCTAAAATAATATTATAAACTACTTCCTCTATTTTCAAATATAAGCAAAATTATCATGTGTCTTTTTATTTTTATTTATAAGAAAAACTCCAAATTTCAAGATTTTTTTATCACATTTTTCTCAAATTATCTCTTATAAAATTAATTATACTTTCATTAAAATAATTTAATTCATTTTTTTAAATTTCAGGTAGTATTATTATTATTAGTATAATTAAAAATCTATTTTAAATTATGGGAGGAGTCCAAAAGGAATACGGAGGAAGGTGATTATCGAAGGGAAAGGGGGTTTTCGATGAATAGAGATAGTCAAACACATGAAGTTTGACCAGCGACTAGGGCCCCACCACACCTCCTACTGGCCGAGAACCAAACTGCATGCTAAGTGCAAACCCAACCTTTTTGACTTCTTATTTCTTCTTTCTCCTCTTCTTGACTTTCTACTTTTCCGCGTCATATCTTCACAACACATCAGGTAGATTGTGATTGATAAGGATTTAATTCTTGTTTTATTAGGACACTAAGTTCAAATTTTGTTTTTCCCCATTAATGCATTAAACGCCCTCCCTCTAGCATTTATTATTCTCTCATTACCATTTTATAAAATATTTTTAAAAATAATTTGACATCTTAAAATATAAAATACTTCAAAAGAAAAATAAAGTTTCACCTATCTATCATTATTTCATCACTTAAATAAATTTTCATCCCCTTCTCTTATATATTAATAAAGGGTATTTTTAAAATTTTATTTAAAAATTAAAATTATAAATTATATTTAATAAACTTTATTGATGTATGTAATTTTGTCAAAAAATACCTTTTGATGGAGGAGTACAAAGCATATTCTAAAAGAAATTAAATGAGTGATCCTTATTGTAATTCAATTTGATAAGGTATTAATTAAGTTTTTTAATATTTCTCTTATTTAAAATCATTACCCTAGAATATGTAAGGTGCTCATAAATTTAAGAAAATTTGATTTAAATATGAATAAAGGTTGAAACTTATACTATTTTTAATCAAAATTAATTATTTAACCAGCTCTTCTTAGTTCCAGTGAGACAGTTAAAATTTTTTTTTCTTACAGTTTGTTTTTTTTTTACATATTTTGGTCTTTATGCGACTATTTTAATTTTTCAAATTTTTTTATCATAATTATTAATATATAATAAAATATTTATTGAAAAGATAAATAAACTATTTAAAAATGGGAGGACAACTTATTAGATTGGCCGGAAAAAAAAATAATTGGACAATTATTTTTTTAAATGGTGTGTAATAATATTCGGGGCTTCCGTTTAATTGGTGGCACGACGGCACCATGCTAGTGGACACATTTTGGTGCTCATTTATGTGTATTGTTTAAATAAAAATTCCAATTTCCATTGATGCAATAAAATTCTCCAAATATTTGATGCGGGTATTGCTACGGGAGAGATTAATTTGATTCGTATAATTTTTGTATGTTTTAAAACTATGTATTTTTTAAAAACATGGAGTCAGATAATCAAAGTATATATAAGTATATATATATATATATATATATATCTTTGAATGATTATGACTTTTTTATATAACTATTTAATGTCCACATATTAATGAGTTGGATTTGAGTATCAAGTCCAATTGCATCTAGTTAACCTAATTAGAGATAACTTTTTCAAAGACAGTCATAACCTAGTGCTCTAAAACAATATGTTAGTGGAGTCAAAAATAAGAATTAAGGCCATGTTTGATAGACTGGAATTATAGAGATAAAATAGAATTAGAAAAAGAATCTGAATAAAGTGATGTTTGGTAGGTATGAATTATAATTCCCAAGAATCTCAATTCCATGAAAATAGGTTGAATTGGATTCTTTGTTTAAAGTTATGGAATTAAGGGCAATTCCATAGAATTGTGACTTTTAAGACAATTTTACCCTCATAAAAATTATAGAAAGACAATTTTACCCTAAAAACATATAACCCTAACCATACCCAAAAATGACCACACCTAATTATAACATATGTGTGTATGTGTAAAATATAATACGATATATGTATTTATAATATTTCTTCTATGAAATATTTTATTTATATATAATATTTATCATCTATCTAATATTTTATTTATATACTAAACATGTGAGGAAATTAAAATATTTTTTGTAAAATATTTTACTTATATATAATATCTATCGTCTATATAATATTTCATTAACATATAAAATACATAAGAAAATTGAAACACAATTAAGCTTTTATTATGTTTTATTTTAATTTTTATATAGAGGTATTTTTGTCTTTTAAGTATAATTCCATTTCTATGTCTTACGTACCAAACAAAAATAATGTAAGTATTTCATCTAATTTTTCTGACATACCAAACATATTTTTGTAATCCAATTCTATTCCAATTCTGATTCCAATTCTAATTCCGATTTCGATTCTAATTTCATCAAAAATTATTCAATCATACCAAACGAGGCCTTTAAGTCTGACAAACTATCTACTTCGACATGTTTTTATAAAAGTTTGTACCAAAAAAATAATATTTTTTAAGAAAATTAAGCTTTGAAACCTTGTCTTAATAAGTTCTAAAAAAGAGTTAGGGTGATCCGTTTAAACCCTCTTTTTTATTTTACTGCTGAAAAATAATTTTTTTTAATTGACTTTAAATTTTACAATATATATTATTTTTTAAAATTTCTATTAAAATATTTAAACTTTAAAATATTTTCATAGGCCCTAATGGCTAGGGCTAGTTAGAATTTTTATTATTTATTTTAAATTTTTAAACATTATAATTTATATTTTTAAAACATATGATATATTATAATTAAAAATTTTAATTTTAAAAAAATATAAAAATAAAGAAAAAAGGAGCTTAAGGGCCCAGCTTGAGCCCTTGAGTAGTGGCGAAGATTCAGAAAATAATTAATTTTGGAATAACTAGATTTATGGACTTAATTTCATACGGGTTTGATTCACTCATTCTCAACTTTATGTGCCAATACTCCCTTCAATTTTAATTATAATGAAAAATTCTAAAATCCTATTTGTTCTTTAATGTAAGGTCTTTAATGTAAGGTAAAGATGAAGTTGTTAATTTTTACAAGTTTAAAAATATTAATAATCATTCTTTAAGACCATGAAAATGATTAACTTTGTCCTACAATTAGGATATAATAAGTAAATGAGTATTATTTATTTCAAAAAAAATGAGTATTATTTAAAATCCAAAGAATAAATAATTCAAAGCTTCCGTTTTCACTACCTTTTGCATGTTGTTTATTATTATTGTTATTATTATTATTATTCTTATTATAAAGCGTGTATGAATATTGATGAACTGGAGGGTAATATCAAGATTCAAGAGGGAGACCAAAGCATTGATTATGATATCCACATTTATTAATTATATTTTGGGCATTAAAAAATTAAAAAAAAAAGAGAGATTAAAACTGTATTTATTTATTATCCTTAAACCGCGTTTCTGGGCTCTGCCTTTGACAGACTGACTTTTTCAGCTTCACAAAATGTCATTCAACTTCTTCGACTTCAACGCTTAATTTTATTTATTTGTTCTTCGACGATCTTCTTCTTCCCCTTTTCATACGCCTCAACCTCTCAGAATCCCCTCTTTCCTTCCTTCTTCCTTCCTTTCTTCTTTCTCTTTCTTTCATTTTCTCAGCTTATATACTTCTCATCTTTCCCACCACAAATATTTCCCTCCTCAAATCTCTCACTCTATTCATTATTTTCCCCAGATTTTAATTCTGGTTCATTTTCTTTGTGGGCTTCCAAACAATCCCTCTCTGGGACTTCTGGAGCTGTAACTTTCATTTGCGAGCAAGTTCTCGCTCTCCTCCTCCTCCTCCTCCTCCTCCTCTTTCTGGGATTTTTTGCTGCTTTTCTGGTTTGATTTTCCTTGGCCCCAAACAGGGGCAGATCATTATCATTGCAATGGTTTTCAAGGCTTCTTTCATTCTTGTTATTCTCATATTATATTCTTTCTCTGTGGAAGTCGTTTCTGGAAATCTCAATAACAATGGCTCTTCACTAGCCGCCATTAAATTACCTGACCACCCAAGCTTCGATTCGATTTCATCTTCAAATTCTGGGTGTGCCTTCTCGAATGAAGAAAATTTTGGTCGTTCAGAAGATGATGAAGAAGAAGATGGGAGGAAGGCTTTTCAGTCACTGAATCCAAACATGGAATCAGTGAAACTCCATTTGAAGCACCAATCTACGAGCAAACACACAGAGTCCAAAAAGTCTCTGGTTGATTCTACAGTGAAGGACTTGACCAGAATTCAGACCCTTCACGAAAGAGTCATGGAGAAGAAGAACCAGAACACCCTCTCACGGCTGCAGAAAGCTAAGAACCGCCCAAAACAACCACAAAATTCGGCGGCGGCTTCACCGCCGGAGTATATTTCAAGTGGGTATTCCAGCCAGATGGTGGCAACACTGGAATCAGGAGTAACACTTGGCTCTGGAGAATACTTCATTGATGTTTTTGTTGGTACACCTCCTAAACACTTCTCTCTCATACTTGACACTGGCAGTGATCTTAATTGGATCCAGTGTGAACCTTGTTATGCATGTTTTGATCAAAATGGACCTCACTATAACCCTAAACATTCAACTTCTTTCAAGAACATAAATTGCCATGATCCTAGGTGTGAACTAGTGTCATCCCCAGATCCTCCTCAGACATGCAAAGATGAAAACCAGACGTGTCCATATTTTTACTGGTATGGAGATAGTTCAAACACAACTGGTGATTTTGCATTAGAGACTTTCACTGTTAATCTCACAAACCCTACTGGCAAATCAGAACTGAAGCTTGTGGAGAATGTCATGTTTGGTTGTGGACATTGGAATAGAGGCTTATTTCATGGTGCTGCTGGGTTATTAGGACTGGGAAGAGGACCATTGTCTTTTGCTTCTCAGCTTCAATCTCTGTATGGCCAATCATTTTCCTACTGTCTTGTGGACAGAAACAGTGATACAAATGTCACAAGCAAGTTGATTTTTGGGGAGGATAAGGATCTTCTGGGACATCCAGGTTTGAATTTCACATCTTTTGTGGGTGGGAAAGAGAACCCAGTTGACACATTTTATTACCTTCAGATAAAATCTGTGATGGTTGGTGGTGAGATTCTGAAGGAGATACCAGAAGAGACATGGGCTTTGTCTCCAGAAGGTTCTGGAGGGACAATCATTGATTCTGGAACAACTCTGACATATTTTGCAGAGCCCGCATATCAGATCATCAAGGAGGCTTTTGAGAAGAATATTAAAGGGTACCCTAGGGTTGAAGGTTATCCTCCATTGGGGCCATGTTATAATGTTTCTGGGTTGGAGAAAATGGAGCTTCCTGATTTTGGGATACTGTTTGCTGATGGGGCTGTGTGGAATTTCCCAGTGGAGAATTACTTCATCCAGATTGAACCAGAAAATGTTGTGTGTTTGGCAATTTTGGGGACTCCTAGGAATGGTCTTTCCATAATTGGAAACTATCAGCAGCAGAATTTTCACATTCTGTATGATACCAAGAAATCCAGACTTGGGTATGCACCAATGAACTGTGCTGATGTATAGCAGAAACACTGAATTCCAAAGGGTAGTTTTTTCCCCCCTTTTTCTTTTAATTAAATTTGTTTAAATAGGTATACTTATAGAAGGTTCAAGGATTTTCTAAAGTGATTGATTGTAAAATTTTTGTATAGTTCAAGGAGATAGTAATACCAAAGGTTCCAACTTTTTATATATCTTCTGTCAATCTTCTTATTCTTCTTTCCCTGAAGTTTCCCCAAAAAAAAAAAAAAAATACAACAAAAAATTCTAAAGAAATTCACAATCTTGTAGAAATATAAAGGCTTCAAGAGTTGAGAAAATGTCATCCAATTGACAAGGATTTAATTTATAACTTACCTAATCTTAGGTTTAAATCCATTGTCGTTATAAAGACTTCCTATTTGATAGACAACTCGTAAATATTTTACAAACATTTATAAGGAAGCGCTTCTCCAGAAACATGCCCCGACAAAACTTTTGAAAATGTCATAGCTAACAGGAAAGAATCGTTACCTTTTTTATATTAATAAAATTGGTTTGTTTTGCTAAAAAAAAAAAAACCAGGAAAGAATCGTTATTTTGTTATAACTTACTTCCTCCATATAATTTGCTTTTTAGAAGCACCTCTTGCTTAAAATATAAGGCAGTAAATATTTTTTATTTTTTTTACCATTTATACCATTACTTTTTATATTTTTTATCTTCAAATGTTCCATATTTAAAGATTATGTATGTATTACTGGGAAAAATCAAGTGCATAAAAAAGATGGGCACATTTTTAAGAAAATAAGATTTCAACAAATATTTTTTTATAAAATATAAATTAGTTATCAATGACATTTTGATTCAAACGGAGTAAGAGATTTCAAGTTTGAGTTGGTATAAATATAAAAAATATTTTTAAAAGAATTATTTAAAATTGAGCCTGCACGAATCTAACTTGATTGGATAGTCATATGAAAAAGATTTGACTATGTCTTTTATATATATATATATTTTCAAATATTATTTGTATACGTGCTCAAATGTACATAGTTGATTCCCATGTGTCCAGCATATCACATTCCAAATATTTAAGAGAACCCACCTGTTAGGTGTGTCAACGTTTTTTAAAGGGGAAGAAAAAAAATTCTATGAGCCAGCTACAAGTAAAAACAAAAAAGAACAGGTCAACTTCATTTGGTGGGTGTGTGTCTCTCAATATAATATATTTTTCATCGCCATCAATTCGGTTTGGTAATCTGAAAGCCGACGAAAACAATACAAATAAGATATACTATACACTAAATTTTTACTTGAAGTAATCTTCTGGTTTTATTGTGATATCGCAATTGTCTCCTTAAAAAATCAGCCTAGATTTTAGAATAAAAATAAATATATTTTTTATAAATTTATATAATTTTCTAGAAAATATTAATATTTTGGTCCCATAGTTTGCCTCATGCTTCAATTTTACCCCTATAATTTAATATATATATATATATATATATATTGTAAATCACTTCCTATGAAAAAGGAATAATTTTCAAAGGAAGGACTCAACTCAATGCTTACATTTAGTACCTGATAATATTTTAAATAAAATTATTTTCAATAAAAAAATCTTTCCGTCTTAAATTATGGGACACTTTTAAAAAAATATTTTCATCTTAAAATATAAGATACTTTGAATATATTAAAATTTCATTAATTACAGCAATTTTAATTTTATTTTTTTCTATAATTAATTTTCATCCCTTCTCTTTTTAATATATTAAATGATGGGTATTTTAAAAATTATATATTTTTATTTTAAAAATCTAAGATTGTTAAGTATATTTAATGATATTTATTGATATTTGAGATTTTATTTAAAAATATTTTATAATTTAGGATGGAGAGAGTACTTATGAAAAGCCAAAAATATATATTATTTGATGATTGATTTAAACGCAGCAAAGATACAAAGATAGGTTTGTAAATAAGTGCGAGCTATTGAGACTAAATTTTATTTTTTTTCCTAATTTTTTTTATATAATATGATCAATTTTTTCCGAATCAACATAACATGATTAGGCTACAGATCAAATTGTTATCACCCATTTGTTTATAGAAGTTTTTTATCCAAGTCAATCAAATTAAAACAATATAATTTTCAATCTTTGATGCTGTTTTGGCCCAAAAAAGTACTTGATGTTGTTAAAACATGTCTAATTTATATGATAATTTAACAAGAGAAGTGGAAGTTATATGGCTGCGGTGGCTTTGGGTAGGTATATATCTAAACATCACAGATTAACGAAGCAGCCTCCTTCTTTCATTTTATGTTTATTTTGTATTTTATTTATTAATTTTTTGTATCTTATTAATTAATATTGTCATCATCTTCCTCGTAAGAAAAATATTCTTCCTTTTGACTCTCCCATTTGCCTTTTCTCTTTTTTATTCTAATTGTTGGTCAAACACTGCAAGCTACCATCTTTTGAGATATTTTTTTTTAAATGAAATAATCTTGAATAAATATTGTCCCTCAATTCTGATTGTGAACGTGGAAAGCATTTCTTCAATTTAAAAAACTAGAAAAATATTTGTAATGATACCCTCGTTGAATGTTCAATGTAAATGTCATAATAATAATAATAATAATAATAATAATTGACCATTTGTTTAAATATAATAGATTAAAAATTTTTAATCCTTTAAATTTATATAAGATTTTATTTTATTCTATTAATTTTATAAAGTATATTTTTAATCCTTTAATCATAATACCCTTTGTTTTCATAATACCCTCTGTTTTAAATGATTATTTTTTGTAACAATTATTGTTATTTTTTAAAAAATAAATTTAATAAGTTAACATTTGATAATATGTTGTCAATATTTAAAAGTTCAATGTATAATTTTTTTGTGTGATGGAACTAATGGTATTAGGGTTAAAAAATTAAAAATATACTTTTTAAAATAAAATAAAATCTTATGTAAGGTTAAAAGATTAAAAGTATACTTTAATCAAGGTAATAATGAAAAAGTATAATTTAGACAAGATAATAATAATAAAACAAAAAAATAGGAGTATGGTTAAAAAAATTATAAAAATAATATGATACTTTCTATTTTAAACCAAACTGAATTTCTAGAAAATGTGGTATATAATGATTGGCAGGAAGTATACATTTCATATGCACCATCTAGACCTCTCTATACATAGATTATCCAAATTTTATTAGCTTTTTATTTTTTAAAAATTGTAAAGTGACATCGTTTAATTTGGATAAAACTTGTTGTTAGTATTTAAAAATTTTGAACTACATGAATTTGATCTGTATAATACAATTTTATATCATATAAATGATCTAAAGTTTGTTAACCCCTTTAAATGATCTAAAGTTTGTTAACCCCTTTAAAATTATTGTAGAGTATTGCTAATTTAACCAATAAAGATTGATTTTGTTGAAAGAATTAGTTCCTCACAATTTAACAAATTAATATTTAAATTTTTGTTTAAAAAAGTATTCACATGTAGCATTCGATTGTGTTTAGTTGAAAAAATTATCACTAATTTAAAAAATAAATGAATTTTTATAGAAGAAAAATTAATTAGGAAGTACTTTGTAGATTTATTGTAATTTTTTTTTGGGACAAATTACTGTAAAAATTTTAAATCATAAATTTAGGTCAGTGTTTTTTTTGGGCCAAAAATTGCTCATTTAGTTCAGGGAGGTACAAACGCATAAGGGTCAGAGAGGCCTTTCAATGTGGAATTCAAAATGAGCTTTAAAAACCCTATTGTTTTTTTGTTTAAGCCCAATTATACACGACCTGCCCAATTATGCAAAAATAGGGCTTCATGGAAACAAAATTTTGTTTGGTTCTTGTTTTTTTTTAATTATAATCTTTATCCTCTTAATATGTCAGGAGATTTTTCAGAACAAGTTTAAATACTAAAAATTAATAATAATATGAATGAATAGTTGTTTTTAGGAACACTTGTGAAAATTTGTTTGAAACCACAAGCAATAAAGGTTAAAGTACTTATGTAAGTTGTGAGTAGATAGATTCAGAGTTCAAACTTTCATAATATATCTAGAAAAATTATTTCATTCAAAAAAAATTAGAAAAATTATTTGAATAATTTTATTTGAAAAAAAATAATTGAAATATGAAAGAAAAATATTTAGTTAACTCAATTATCTATTGCTATTAATGACCATAGACATAATAAGAGAATTTCTTAAAATACTTTAAAGAGAAATTGGAAAGAGATAAGGAGAGAGAAGTGGATCATTTTCATGAAACTCACATGTATTCCAAGTGAAACTCTTTTTAATCGATATAATCATTTGACACCCTATGCGATCGTATTAGATATTAGTTTTAAGTATTATTGAGTCTAATAAAAGTAATTCTTCAGATTATATCTAGCTTTATTTTTGGAAAAATTTCAAGAGAGCCCCAAAGTCTAAAAATTTTACTGCAAACTATGGTAATGAAATAAAATTAAAATGCAAACTACCTGATTGTCGGCAGTGACTGAAGTCTGTTAAAAGATAATTGCAATTTTTTTATACTAAAATTATTCATTTCTTATATTGAAATAATTAATTTTTCTACTGTAGTTATTTGTGTAAATAGCTTCACTGGATTTAATTTTTAGTGCCGTTATATGATAAAAAGAATTGCAAATTTTTCTCATTTTAGTTTTTTATTATCCATATTAAAGTGATTATTTTTTTTGGGAGAATAACAAATAAGGACTTTCTAAGGACATTAATGTCAAGTTGAAAATTTTAGTATTGAAATATGATAGAAGGAGTATTGAAATTTGAGAATGCTAGTATTAAAAAATTTTAATTTGATATTGATATTTTTATAAGGTCTTTATTTTCATTTCCTCTTTTTTTATCCTATAAAAGTTGTTTGTATGTATAGTTTTACTTGATTTTACTTATGATGTTGTTATCATGCTAAAAATAATTACAAATTCGCTATACTAAGTGATTAATTTTTTTTATTAGAGTTATTAGTACACATAACTTGTTTTTATTCAAATTTCTGTTATGATAATAAATGAAATTGCAAATTCCCTGTAATGAACATTTATTGAGGGTAATTACACACACTAATATATGTAATAAATAAAATGTTGGGAAACACTTTTTGCAGATGGGATGGACGGAGAAAACGTCAGATTTGATGAAGAGATGACATCA